GTGTCCCCTTCAGCTACCATAACCTCACAGAGTTATTCAGACTTCTGTTGAATCAACCAATCAGTATTCAGCATTTGATAAGTACCTAATGGGTATGAACACTGTGCTAGTTAGTGGGATTATAAATACAAAAAGGAGATAGTCCCTGTCCTTTAATAGTTTACATCCATTGAGAATGTAATGTAATTCCATTGGGAACATGTATGTATATGAAAATATGCAAATTATGTATGTAGATTTAAATATAATATACAATTATGTTTTTATTATAATATATAACATTTAAGTATATAAAATGTAAATACATACATATACATGTATATATGTATATATATGTATGTGTGTATATATGTATATGTATGTATGTGTGTGTGTGTGTATATATATATATGTATATATATATATATATATATATATATATATATATGTATATAGTGATTTTGAGTTCTTGTTGACCTATTACATGTTAAAGTTACTTCATAAAGCCAGAGCTATAACTAGGACTTTTTTGTACCTAGGACAAATATCATATTTGGGGTAAGCAGTGTGTAATATGCCCTCAACATGTGGTGGGGAAGCTCACCTTAGCCCACCAATGTGGAAGCCTCTTATTTAAATAAATTAATTATTTTTGCTAACCCGACACTAAGACCCTTTGTTTCCAAGATGCCTAAGGACTTCAAGTACTGCTGGTGTTCTTTAAATTTGGTATGCCTGAGTAAAATCCCAACCTAGTTATAGCTTTGCATAAATAGCTGAACAGTTTGTACCTTTCCAGGCTAATGACAAGGTGCCCCCAGGTTGTGCTTTAACTAGCTTATTTTTCTATGGTTCATTTTTTTCTTCCTGCTTCCCATGAGATGATAGGATTGTCTGTGAAGATGGAGCTAAAAGATTTGATCAGCTCAGCTAGAAATATTAGCTAGTTTTCTATCTTTGTAAAACTACTGGGTGATGAGATGAAGGAGGGAACCAGACTTCTTTGGAATTTCAGGAATTACTATTTTATGTTAACATCCTATGGTCATTTTGTTGTTCATTCAGATTCCTTACTACTCACCCACACTTTATCCCCTTTTCCCCAGCCATCTCCTTTCTCCTTCCTACATAACCACTTACTCCATTAACCCCCACTCTTCCTTTACCCACATACCTGTTTCCTCCTCCATTTCCCCACCCTCTCACCTCACTGATCTTTGGAATGTGAATCTGAATGTATGCTTTGGTATTGGGGTTTGCATTATCAGGGGAATTAATCTGAACATACTTATCCTGTGCGTGTGCTCTCACACACAAACATGCCTATGTGATAGAGGGAGTGCTTTACTTCTTTCAGTTATTCTAAAAATTAGGGAATGAGAAAAACTTAACTGTCTCTACTCAGAGATGTACAATTCTCTGAAACACTTCTCTTTTAAAGAGAAACCTGCCTGGAAAGAATTTTTAAAGTCCTCATTTTTTGTTTGTGGGAGGTAAGGAGGGAATTAGGAAATAATGATACTGTTTACAATTCTAATAGTCTACCCTCTACTTCCCTCGAACAATCCTGGTCTTTCTTCCACAACCTAGGAAGGTTGATGGTAATCATTTATTGGGTAAAAGTCACTGAGCCAATGAAATGTCAACGTAATTTTTGTGTTAGCAATGAACTAGAAACAACATATATGACTCGTGTACTGGGGAATGGCTAAACAGACTATGGTGTGTTAATGTAATTGTGATGTTAGAAACAATATATAATAGTCCTCTAGAAAAACTTCTTCCCAGGGTCTTTAGTGCCCCCTCACAAGGCAGCCAATCCAAGTCTTGACAGAAGGACTGTCATAAATGAATATGAAGAACTCCTAGAATTATGGGGAGATTTATGTGAACTGGTGTGGAGTGAAGTAGAACCAGAAAACACTGACAACAATGTAAAGGGAAAGAACAAAAATAATTAAATTAAATACTACATAATTATAATGACCAAGAAGTTAAGCCCTATAGAAAAGATCGAAGAAATAACCTTTTACTATCTTCACTGTACTGGTGGGAGACTATGGACATGTAATATTGCCATGTTGGTTATACTCTCTTCCCTTCTCCATCTTGAATGCTTGGTGAACCAGTTTAACTCTACATTTTACTCTTGAGTCCCTTGACCCCTCGCCTCATACTTTTGCCATGCTCCAGCCTTTGATTATTTCTTCCATTTGCTATATTCGTGCATTACTGAACAAAGCTAGAGAAAAATCAGGAAATTGTGCTTACTTGGTCCATTACAAATTTATGTTACATAATCCCAAATGGGCCCTCATCAAAGCAAGGCAATCCTTTTACGTCTTCCTAATTAGTTCATTATCTCATTCACCACCAAAGCTTTTCTAAAACTTTTCATCCCTACTCAAATGTTCTTCTTTCCCCACCTTCTCAGCTGAAAACTTTGCCTCGTATTTCAGTAATAAGGTCAAGCCATTCATTGAGAGCTCCCTCTTCTTTCCCTCTTCTTATATAATGCAGGTGCCTTCTGCCACTATCTCCTCCTTCACTCTTGTCTCACATGAAGAAGTGGATCTTCTTACCAAGGCAAACCCCTCTACAAGCACAAGTGATCCCATTCCATCTTTTTTTCCCCTACAGATTGCCCCCTCTATCATTTTCATTCTCTCACTTATCTTCAATCTCTCTCTCTTTCCCTGTCAACTAGGTGCTTCCCTACTGCCTACAGACATGCCCATGTCTCCTCCATCCTCAGGAACCCTTACCTGATGCACCCATCTTCTCTTGCTGTCTTCCTTCCTTTGTTCCTGCTTTTGTGACTAAACTGGAGACAGCCATCTATCACTGGTGCCTCTACTCCCCTTCTTCACAATCTCTTCTTACCACTGCTATCTGGCTTCTAACCTCGTCATTCATCTGAAAATTTCCTCTTCAAAGTTAGTAATGCTCTCTTCATTGCCAAATCTAATGTCCTTTTCTGTCAGTCACCTCCTTGATACTACTTTCTCTCTAGAATTTTACAACACTGCTTTCTTCTGCTTTTAATCCTGCCTATATGATTACTTCTCAGCTTACTTTGATGTATTTCATCCAGATCATGCCCCTTCCCTCAAAGGTGAGAATCCAGGTGGGCTCCTCAGCATTCTGTAATGGGCTCCTTTTCTCCCTTTTATTTCACTTGGTGATCTCATCAACTCCCATGGATTCAATAATCATCTTTATTGGGATGATTTTCAGATCTCTTTAGCCAGCCTTCATGCTCTGGTATGAGACCTGTGGTCTCACATCTCCAGTTGCCTATTGGACATCTAATGTTCAATATGTACACAATTGTACTCCTTATCTTCCCTGCCCCTACCCCCAAGCCTTCTACTCTCCCTAACTTCCCTGCTCATGTCAAAGGCACCATAATCTCCCCATATCCTCCAAGTCATCCAGTCTCTAAAATCTAGGTGGCATCATCTTTTACTTTCACCTATTTAATCTGTTGCCTTTCTGCCCCCTTATTCTATAACTCCAGGATCAAATATAAAATACTCTTTTGCCTTTTAAAGTCCTTCATAACCTGGCCACTTCCTACATTTTCCATCTTCTGGTATTTTATTCTCCTACATTTATTTTATGATTCAATGACCCTAGCCTCTTTGTTATTCTTTGCATGTGACACTCCAACACCCAGCTCCATGGATTTGATTAGCTGTTTCCTATGCCTGCAATGATCTCCCTTCCAGTCTCTGCTTCTTGACTTCTCTAGCTTTCTTTAAGCCTCAGCTAAAATCTGACCGTCTCACTTTTCCTGATCTTCCTTAATGCTAGTGCATTCCCTCTGTGATTATCTCTAATTTATCCAGTATGTGTCTGGTTTGTACATACTTGTTTTCACGTCATCTCCTGCTTTTGACTCAGGCTCTGAAAGCGGGGATTGTTTTTTGAGTTTCTTTGTTATCTCAAGCACTTAGCATAATGTCCGCAACATAGTAGGCACTTAAAAGTAATTGTTGACTGGCTGATACTGGTCATAGTTAATTGACGTGTAGCTTGGTTTTGCTAAATTGCTTTTTTTCTTTTAAAAAATCATTACAAGGGAGTAGCTTGATGGGGAGATGTATTTGGAAATAAAGGTAGTAAAACAACAAAAATGTCAGTAAGATTTATTTTAGAAAAATAGAATCATAAATGTTATTCCTGAACCAGTGGGAAATATAAGAACATATTAGAAAATATACAGATTTACGTTGTTAGTCATGAAACCTAAGCTATATCTCTCATCCATACAATGATGTAATAACTATTTTGGAGATGAAGTCTAGGAAAATCTAAGAAGTCTGAGTCCATATGTACTGTGCACAGTAATCCCTCATTTAACAGACCTCCTTGGGGAGTGAAGTGAATTTTCCAAATAACTGAAATATGTGCCCATAATCACCAAAACTTTTTAAAAACTATGTTGTGTGATCTTTTGAACTTGTTTTATTATATACTTTCCTGCTTTCTCAACAGAATATAGTCAACATAACCTAATCTTTTCTTTGTGACCCAGGATTATTATGTTATCAGCAGCTAGTGATTTAGGCCTGTTTTCTCCTACATTAAATGTCAGCAGAGGACTATACTTTGGAAGTTCTTACATTTTTTTGGGTAGTTTGTCATTTTTTTCTCTCTCCTCCTTCATTGTCCAGTGGTCAACTGTGGTCTCTTGCCACAGTGGGTTGTCAAAACAGGTAACACTGTTAGAATTATATGAAAAGCCAGAGTAAAAAGGCTCTGGCTTCATTTTGGTTGATCAGAAATCTTTTGTGCATACATCCTGGTTATCAACTATGTCCCAGAAACCTGAACTCGCTAGATAAAAGACCCCCACCCCACCCCAGATAAATGAAATGTTTTAACAAATAATAATTCTTGCAAAAACTTTCTCCCCCAGTCATTGAAAGAAAACTAACATGGATATCTCGAGGCCCATGAACCCCCAATTCCAAGTAATCATTTATTTCTCTCTAATTTCCTTTCTTGTTTTGCAGTCCCCATTCTGTCCCAGACCGCCTGCGGATCCGAGTGAACAGAATTAGTTTACAAGACTATGAAGGCTTGCACTATGACAAAGAAAAGCTCCGGGAAGCTTGTAAGTTAAGAGTATGTTATTGAGTTTCATACAACTGACTTAAAGCTTTCTTCGCTCTCCATTTTGCAGTTAGGTTCATTATTCCTTGTATGCCAAAATTTTAACAATGAGGGAACAAAGGAACAGTAATATAGGCTCTGAAAAGGTATGTGTGTATATTTAAAAGTAAACCAGAGAGGGAAATGGGTAGGATGAAATCAGTTTTCCATAGACATGACAGTAGGATCAGTTGGTTTAAATATAGTTTTAGTCTCTCTTATGTTCCCCCACAAATGAAAAAAGCAAATGATTGATTATAATACAAAGCATAGCAAGATACAAGAAATCCTGGGTGCAGTGCAAGGCTATGTGTTTATTCCTGATGGCCCTCCCCCACCACAACCCACCTGTGTCTTCAGCCTTGATGTCTGCAGGTATTGTTATGTACAATATAATCTAGCAATCATGTACTGTCATCATCCAGTTATTGGAAGTGAAACTGTATAGACATTCCAGTACTTCTTTTAATTAAGCCACCTTATCTTGAATTCTGTGCTACAGTGACACCCATTATGCTGAAGGTCCAATGTACTAGGGTAGTAGAATTGATTCTATGTGCTATTTGCCAGATTTTCAGGTGAGTCAAATGTACATTTGGTGGACAGGACTGACTAATGAGATTAGAACCAGGACTTAGAGGGATCTCACTATATGATTTGTTCCAAAGTTCCTTACCGAAAAGCAGGCATGTAGAATGGTTCCAGAATCCCACACCTATCCTGTAGCTGGACTAATATGGCCTTTTGTGGTTCACTATGGCCAATCTGTGATCAACATAGAGATTTAGGAAAAGTTTTCCTGATGAAGACATAAATCCTCTTAAGTCAGTCATATACCCTGGTCTTCCCTCTCAAGTTCTATGGCCATTTGTCTTGGAAAGAAACTCCATTGTTTCTAGTCAAGCCTGATTATGACTATATTCTAGTTGGTTTTTTTTTTTACCATGAAATTGTAAATATCCAGACTGTCATTACTTTTAGCTTTAATATATAAATAGACCCTGGTCATTTAGTTAGTCATTGAGCATTTATTAAACATATACACATACACACATAGATACATCTGCATATATATGTATCTGCATATGTTTAATAAATGCTTGATGACTGACTGAATGATTAGTGTCTCTGCATTACATAGTATTCTGTTGTATATTATGCACATATATTATATGTATATTATGCATATGTGTGTATATGTATATATATATATATATATATATATATATATATATATATATATATATATATATATATCAGTGTATATGTTTAATAAATACTTGATTGTAAAAAAAAAGAACCGGGACTTAAACTAATTAGTATCCCTTCTAGGCTCACTTCTCTCAACCTATCCTTGTACTCAAGGGTAATGGTTCTCACAGGGTCAGTTGCTTCCTTCTCTTCTCAGTCTCCTATGGGTAACTGTAGGGGATTGTTGCTTTTAACACAGTAACTTCTGAGACCCCCCCCCCTACTGTGTTTCTAATTATTAACCAACCAGATGAAATCTATTCCCTTTTACAAAAAGAATTTACTGAGTAGATATAACAAGAATAACTGGTACAAAAAAAATCTCTTAAGACTGGAGTCTACTTTCCTACAAATACAGGTGGATCTGTGAGAAAAATAGGCTCAAACTTAAAATATAATGGTAGTGAGGTCCAAGTATAGGGAACACTTGTGGCAAAGGGATACCTTTAAAGTCCTGGCACTGGAAGTTGTTTCCTCCCTTTGTATGTTCCTCATTGAGTTCCATTGAAATATTGTTCCTTGCTGTATTTTGAACATTGGTACCTTCCAGAGTCCATAGACAGCATTTCATTCTGCTGTGGGGAATCTTGCTGCCTGTACCTCATGTTGTCCACTTTCCACCAAGGCATGCTTAGGCCTCTCGCTTCCCAATCTCCAAACAATTTTGACCACCCATACGTCCTTGAATTTCTCATTTCACAACCTTGGTAATGATAGAGGGGGAATAGAGTTTCTACATCTCTCAGCAGATATTTCCACTGTCACCACTTCCCATCACTGGTAAGGCTGTTCTTGTACATCTGTCTGCAGGTGCTTCCTCTGTCATTGGCCATTATTGATCTCGTAGCAATGGCTACTAGATGGGATGGTGGGATGTCTGGAGGGACTTCTGGATCTCCTGAAATCAGAAGGTTGCCTGAGTGTTTTCATCTTGAAATACTCATTTACCTAAGATAAGAAAAGAATAAATATGAAAGGAATAGAGTTGTCATGTGCTCATGGGCACATGGCAGGCAGATAAGGGATGCTACCAGTGGTCCCTCCCCTACCTGGCAGCTCAAAGCATTCTTATGTCACCAAGAAGGAAAAGAGAGTGAGCGATGGGTGGGTGGTCCCTCTTTTGATTGGCCATTCAGCTAACCCTTTGGGAGGTAGCTAATAAGTGTTAGACCTAACAAGAGTTATGAAATGGTACAAGTTCACTAAGTATCCATTGTTTCAGATAGAGTGTATGTGTGTGTGTGTGTGTGTGTGTGTGTGTGTGTGTGTGTGTGTGTGTGTGAGAGAGAGAGAGAGAGAGAGAGAGAGAGAGACAGAGAGAGAGAGACAGAGAGAGAGAGAGAGAGAGAGAGAGAGAGAGAGAGAGAGAGAGAGAGAGAGAGAGAGAGAGAGAGAGAGAGAGAGTCTTTTGTAGGGGGAGAAGGAAGAGAGAGAAAGAATTCTGGTAAATCTATTTTCCAAGGTACAAATCAGAAGAAAAATGTACCCATAATGGCAGGGGAGCCAGTTGGGTGGGGGGCCATCATCTAACCCTGGCATGTAGGGTTTCAATCTAGTTTTCTGTGGCTGAAAAAGAAATGGCCTTGATGATGACACAGTGAATGCAGCATACAGGCTGTTTGTGATAGCAGTCTAACAGAGGCTTGTTCTTGTGTCTGGACCATTATTCATATTAAATTACAAGCATGAATGTTTGTTGTGTAACAAAGGCCCTGTTCCCTCTGTAATGCTGGACTCCCTGGTAATTACAGGATGGCAGGCCTTTTAATTACTTTGCTTATTTTACTGTAGAGGGAGATGCAGATACTATGTCAATTCCTCCCCACTCCCCTTCCTTCCAGTCCCCTTTTGCTCTGTCTTTCCTCTCAAAATAATAGAATTGAGATGGCTAGGCCTTGACATTCCCCTCTTTGGCTCCTGCTGGTAAATTTCAGACTTAATTAAAACAATTAGAGTCTTCATCACTAGGCTGATGAGAATAACCACAAGATGATGGTTGCAAATTGCAGGAGAGGAAAGTCTATTAAACTTAAGCAGTGGAGCATAAACAAAGAGGGACCGATTTTTTTTTTAAGCAAAAGCTGTAACAATGACAGTAGAAAATTGTTCCCTTCAGCTGAATTATGTCTCTCAGTGTGTCTCTGCTGACCCAGCTCGAAATCATCTATTCTAGGTGAAAAGGTAATCATTCTTTGGGTAAATCTGATTTCATTTTTTAGCTCCTCCTCAAATATTTATTAATACATGAAACACTTCTTATGAAAAATCCTTGTTTTACTGATTGATGCTGTACAATATTACTTGGAAACTGTGGTCAGTTTTCAATTCTGCCACTGAATTACTCTGTGACATTGAATAACCATGACAAGTACCCTTAATGTAGAGTCTAATAGACTTAATCTTTCTGGTTCTAATGAAAATTAGACAAAATGCCGCGGTTGATTGGTTCCTCTGTTTTGTTTTGTTTTGTTTTCCACCTTTTTCTCATTACAGGTGGGTTCTTAGATTACTAAAGCTTAGGCAAGAGTCTGTGAGCCAAGCTTCCTCATAGACTGAAAGCTGCTAGTCACCCCATCCCTACCACCCCCACATAAGTCACCACGTGAAGACAGTTTACACTTAATGGAGAACAATATAGTGCAATAGCAGGACCATTGTGAAGAGGCGTGGACAAAACAACTCTGTCCTAAGCCAATGACCAGTGCCTCAGAAGACGGTGCCTGTGTTCTGTCAGGCTAGTGAAAAGGAGAGCTGTTAAAAAATGTAAAGAAATGGGTGTACACATCCTATATAAATGAGGGGGTGTAAAGAAGGATACTCTTTGTGCCTAATAGCTTTTTTAGGAACTTTTATTATGAACTTGAAAACATCAATAAACATGAACATTTCCTTAAACAAAAAGAACAGAAAAAGAGGATTGTATGTGATCCTATGAACCTCTATTATGTGTAGCCTATTGATTTTTTTATTTTTAGAGCCTAATAACTTTTTGAAATTATGAAAGCTTAACCTTAATTCTTCTATAACCTTGTATATAAAATGAGGCTAATTGATAATACCTGTGTTTGCCCAATACAAAAGAATGTTGTGAAAATAAGGAGAATAAAAATTGGCATCTTTTGAATCTCCTCTAAGGGAGATAAGATGTAAATGCCATATTATCATTTAAAAATTATTCTCGTGCTAGAGTGAAATAAACAAAATAATTAGTTCAATATCATCAGGAAAATGATTGTCTTATGGTAGGATAGGCAGAATACCTCTGATTTGTTTAGTTCTTCTGTCTCCACACCATGCGATTAGACACATACAAACAATAATGAAACTGAGGCAAATAGTATTTATATTCATGGGATCACAAAATACAGGACTAGAAACAATTTTAGAGATGTTCTGGTCTAACCCATTCATTTTACAGATGAAGAGACTGAAGGCCAGAGAGGTTGTGACTGATCTAAGATGCTATTGTCAGATAGCAAGTATCAAAACCAGGATTTGAATCTAGGGCTTTTGACACCAAATCTACTATTCTCAACTACACCTAAACACATGAGGAATTGAATAGTTTTTGTCAGTCTGGGATACCAAATAAATATTTTTTTACAGAGATATCACATCAAAAGACTAAAGTAAGTTAATATCTTTAGTATGTAACAATAATAATGATCACACAATAATAATAGTGACAAAATAATATTTTGCAATTTACTT